TGGTAGACTGCATTAAGATTTATGCTCAGTATTTCTAAAGCCACTGCTCCAAAAGACGAAAGATCTGAGGATGGAAACAGCCTAAACATAAAATTGTCCAGTGGCAGGCTGTGCTATGCCAATGATGTTAGTTCTGGAATTGCCAAAGGAAGCAAAACCTGTGTTAATATTAGAAAAAAAAAACCCCAGATGTGACTATTGTGAAATCATGAAAAGATATTAAGCTGGTATTAAAATAGGAGGTCTCAGTAACACACTTTGTCAAAGTATTCAGTATAGCCTTTATGGAAGAGAAAACAAAAAAGAGTAACTCACCGAGACTTTGCAGATGATGGGAATAAAATTTAAACTGCTTACCTCCTAAACCAGTGTCCTATACCTTTGACAGCTTTTCCGGCCATCTAAATCATTGAGATCATTCTGATTGTTGCTGACAACCATCATTTTGGAAAGGGTGATAGAGAGGGATTTACACAGGGAAAAAACCCGTCTCTGCTTCCATCACAAAAGCTTTTTTGAGAGCTAGTGGACTGTCAGCCATGGTCTTCCTGATAGCCAGACTTTCCTAACTTTTTCAATTTAATGCAGCAATTAAAAAATCCATAAATAAGCAGAATCATATCTCATAAGCCGTTCAAAGGCTGCAATGAAAATTTCAGATTTAACTACTGCTTATACTACATGGATCAGAATGTCAACTGATGCACTGAGGTGAGTACTGGAAGCTGCCCCCAAGCTGTATTCAGTACAACTTACGTGATTGGTGGCCGTAAGTCACGTTTAAGATTCTTTGATGTGTTGGGCTGTTCACTGCACAAGATATAGATCTGTATAACAAATCAGTCAGCTACTAATTAAAGTGTCTGAGGAGCTGGGAATTTCCAGGATATAGAAATTTCTTGACTATTTCCACTTTTCTCACTCTTTTTCTAAATCCCTTTAAGGCTTTATTTGCATGGAAGAACTTAAGAATATATGATATGGGTCAGGCTAAGCATCCATCTAGCCCAGAACACATCTCCAGCAGCATCCACAGAGAAGGTTATAAAACCAGACCTGGTGTATTGTGATGTTCTCCTACAATAGTTTCCCAAAATATTTGCTAATTGCTGATTTACCATAATGAGTTGACTCCCATTTTACACCAGATACTGATAGAAACCAGACACAGGGGTCTCAAGAATTTCTGCAGTTACCTGGAGAAGCCCTTTTCCTCCAGTTCAATTTCTCAACACTTTACTCAGAAACATGTAAAATATCAGATTGAATGGGCTCCATTCTCATATAAACTGACATAAATTGCCGTACTTGATACAGTTACAGTTGTGTAAAGTCACTGTAGTCAGCAGTAGGACAAAAACTAAGCTGTAGGACAAAGGGTGCCAATAGGTACCTGAGTAAATCTGAAGCAGTCCTGCTGGGAACTGGAGTACCCCAACTCGGGTTGCTGTATTTCTGAATCTATACTGCTAAACTCAAAGTTAGATTTTATATTGCATTGTATTGGTTTCCCTTCTGTTTGCTTTTTTTGTTGAGCTACTGCATTTTCTGAACAGATAAGCAGTAGGAGGGAGTGACCCAGCCTCCTTTCTGAAATTTCTCTCAGCCAACCTAATTTGCTAGTGGTATTTCAGCCTAATCTCAAGTACAGTTCAGTCATTAAACTTTGAGTCACCCCAGGGATTAAACAGAACCTGGTTCCTTGCACAAATGACTCTGGACATTGATAATCTTCCATTTCCATGGTTTTCAACACTTTCAAAGCATTGTAATTCTGCTTTTTTTGAGTGCTGTACAGCATTCACAGTACAGCCTTGTCAGGAAATAATACTTGGGCAGCAAAGCCTTTCCCAAGACTGTTTTGAGAGCTTTATATGTCACGATGGGCTTTTAGAAGACGTCTCCATAGCAGAAGTCAGGTGTGCAGTTTTTCATCTTCCCTGTGGCTGTTTCCTACGTGCCACTTGACTGCTTGTGTTGCGAGAGCCATCCTGATGGCACTTCAGCGAACCTTTCTCAGAGCCATTAAATAATGTTGTTCTCCCTTGTGTTATGGATATGTGCGAGGTAGCACTTGGAGCTATGCTGGATTCTCTGTCCCCTCTCATTATATCTGTGTGTGGGGAATTGCATGAAAGATTGACATGACAGTTTTAATGGTATCGCTGCAAAGAGATCAATTGGCTGTAAATTTTACAGTGTCCATGTGCTGCATTGATAACTCCATACAGTATTAAACACTTTCATGACACAATTAATCTTGTGTGATACTTTCGAGCTTAATTCAGCTGTGATAGTTTCTGTGATCAGCCACAAATCAGTAGTGATTGATTCTGGAATATCCACTAATTAAAACAGAAGAACACTGAAAAAATATTGCCTACAGATACATACTGAAGACTAATGTGCAAAAACCAAAATCTAATGTGATCGTAGCTTCTTAGTTTTAATAAATCTCCTCCTGCAGAGTGCAGAAGCGGTTATTTTTCTAGTCTTTGTGACTGATGGGATCCCAGCAAGAAAATAAGCTTGTCAGAAGGTTTGACTCAGGAATTTATCATGAAAGTTTAGTTTTCCTCTCTTGCAAAACTTCAGGGGTTCAAAACACTCAAAGTTATGCCGTGAGGGGGAAAATGAAGTTTTTCCATGTTTTTCACAATGAATTAAGTGAAACAAAACAGCGTGAAAGAACCTAGAAGCCCCGACCACCTGAGGTTCAAGTACTTGTTCACGGTGGAGGACATTTGGGTTCAAATTGCTGCTTCCCCCGGTGGAGTCCAGAGACGGATGTCTGGGCCACACATTGGAGGTGAATGTCTGCGCTGCCAGCTAATGACACCCAGACCATGATTTTTCACTGTGTCCTGGTGGGACTTACTATATTTTTGTATAATTCTGTAATTATTGGCTACAGAAATTGACTGAGAAGGCCAGTGGTTATGGCACCCAACTGGGATATTGAAGACCCAGATTTAGTAGTGCCAAATAAGGCAAAAAAAGGGTTTGAACAAGAGCTTCCAATGTCCTAGATGAGTGTTCTCACTATTAATCCATTTACTGGTCTCTTTGGTTTAGTCAGAAATCCCTTATCCTTCACCTGATCCAGCTTTCTTAAAGTTTTGTTGAGTGATGTGCTTTGGGGAATAAGTAAGCTTTAGATCAAGAAATTGGCTTTTTCCTACTGGAAAACGTTCCATCTCTCTAGCAGTCAGCAGATGTATTTCCCAGGGCTTGAAAACTATGTGTTATTGAATATACTGGATTTGAATACATAGTTCCCTTTGTGATCTGAAATTTCACATAGAAAGTGGGTAATGCTCATTAGCTCTATTTTGCCTCTCCCAAGAATTCATAACGTATTAAGAATCCTCCTGGAGATAAAATCTGTGCACAGTCTGCATTCAGGCAATCAGCATTGTAGAGGTTGCTTCTTTTTATGTTTACTAATCCTACAGTGTATGAAGTCTCCGAGTCCTGACCCTGAATTTCTCACCCTCGTCCTTTGGTTTGACTCCTGCAATGTGGCACTGCAGATACACTGCGGAGCTGCTGGACTACTGATGTTTCAAATTGTTTATTCTCTGTCAGAGTTCCCTGTCATGACTTGAACATCAGGGTGGCAATATTTCCCGTGCTAGTTTGACTCTGCACAGCCAGGATGCTTTCATTCCTTTGCTGTTCGATTGCTGTTAATTTTGCTGTCTAATGCAGTTGCCCGAACTGAAACTTTTGCTCGTTTGAACTTGCCTGAAACGAAAGCAGAAGACAATGTCTGCCCTGAAACTGTCTTAGCTAAATTCATTTAAGGAGTGGTTATGTTTTGCCAACTAATTTCTTTGTGATAATCTCTGAGCTGCAGCCTCCCAGTACTTGGTTTCATGTGGGCTCCAGCCCAGCTCTGCTTCCCCTCTTCTTGGATATGCTCCCGTTGCGTTTTGGGCTGCCAGGACTGGCCAGGTTGCCTAGGTTTGCCAAGTGTTGTTCAGGCGTTGAATGCTCTGCTGGCATCAGTGCTGATGCTCTGGGTGATTAAACAAGTCCTTGATCCATTAATTATTTAACCTATATTTAAGCCCGAATCATAGAATCATTTGGGCTGGAAGGGACCTTCAGAGTCCACCCCCCCTGCAGTGTGCAGGGACATCTCCAACTAGATAAGGTTGCTCAGAGCCCCATCCAGCCTGACCTCGAATGCCTCCAGGGATGGGGCTTCCACCACCTCTCTGGGCAACCTGTTCCAGTGCTTCACCACCCTCATTGGAAAAAATCTTTTCTTTACGTCAAGTCAAAATCTACCCTCTTTTAGTTTAAAACCATTACCCCGTGTCCTGTCATAGCAAACCCTGCTAAAAAGTCTGTCCCCACCTCTCCTATAGGCCCCCTTCAGGTGTTGGAAGGCCACAATGAGGTCACCTCGAAGCCTCCTCTTCTCCAGGCTGAACAACCCCGACTCTCTCAGCCTGTCTTCATAGGAGAGGTGCTCCAGCCCTCGGATCATTTTCGTTGCCCTCCTCTGGACCTTCTCCAACAGGTCCATGTCTTTCCTGTGCTGAGGGCTCCTGGGAACAGCCTGGGATGGGTCAAGGCACAGTCCTCTACACCGGTCTTGGCCTCAGGCTGTGGTTCTGTGTGGCTTTGAGTTGTCCCTTCCAGACAGTACAAAGGAGCTATAGAAAGCGTTTGAAAATAAATGCATTAAAATAAAGCCTAAGGAAAGCTCGTGAATATCACAGAGAAGTGTTAAACATCACCATTCACTTGCCTGGCTTTCAGTGCTACAGTCTGTGCACTTTGTGAATGAAGAGTGCTAGCAGAGTTTTACTCTCAGTAAAATGCATCGTTACTGTGTATCACTTTATGAATAATAGTAGTAACTAAAGGCAGAGAATGTGAAGGGTGATGTTAAGGTAAGTATTTTATTACAAACTATATTAAGGGGAAAGCAAAGCGCAAAATTTCAAAGGTAACAATAAAAGGGGAACTTCTTTGCTTTTGTACAGGTGTACCAAAATTCCCCAAAGAAAAAATTGAGCCCCTTGATGTGGAGCATGGTGATTCTGTGATTTTGCACTGTAACCCCCCAAAGGGCATCCCACCTTTGCATATCTATTGGATGAATATTGGTAAGTAAACAATTTTTACACAATTCGTATGAGGAGAGACTCAAAACATTTGTCTTCCAGAGCAGTTTCATTACAGATTTGTTATTGATGGGAATGATAATTGTGCAAGTACTTAGGAAGAAGATCTGGATATTGAAAAACAAAATTGAAAAATGAAGAATGGAGATAGGTATTTAGAGAACACAAAGTCAAATTGTAGAGTGCATTGGCACAACTTATTATTAAATAGAAGATATCAGAAAGTTTACATATCAGTAAATGAGTCTACCAGTAATGAGGACTACTGCATTTACAGGGTACAATGTATCAATATATTATTTCTATCATTACTATTTTCCTCTTTTCATAAACTAATGATTGATTTATGATACTGAAAAAAAGAAAATTTGTCAGGTATGTATAATTAGTTCCTTGTGGGTTTCTGTCATGTTATCTTCAGCATTTGTGTTCTGCAGGATTTTCTGGCTCTTGGGAAGCAAAGTAACTTGGCTTGCTTCCGTGACATGAAGGATTTGTTTCTGAAGCTGACCAAGTACTTGCGGAGACAGGGTGCCACATTAAACCTCTGAGCTTGTAAGGCAACCTCTCTGCTCCTGACATACATATTTAGCAGAGGCCTGCATTTGCCTGGATCAACAACGAGACAGTACAGCAGCCCTAGTTCTTACTAACCCTGCCCTGCTGTAATCCGTAGTTACAGAGGAGCAGAGTGCCTGGGAGACTGGCGTGGGGGACATCTGTGAATGGTGACCTCCGTATCATCATTACAGGCCTTTGTATTGGGGAAATGTGATGGAAATTTCTTTTCACCTGGGCAGGAACTTGGTACTGAGTCTTTTTTTGTTATAATTTTTTCATTATCAATTATTTTTTGTATATTTATATATAAATATATGTTGTTTATATATAAATATTTAATATCAATTATCAGTTGTATGTTGAATATTGGTAAATAACCCATTGGTTATGTTGGGTCTTCTGCCTCTCACACCAAAGTCACATTCTGTATGTGGAAGGATGCATATGACAGGAGAGCATTAGTAGTCATACTGGTGAAACAGCTCAGTATCATTATCATATCATAATTATTTTTTCTTACTAGATTTGCAGCACATTCCTCAAGATGAAAGGGTCTCCATGAGCCTTAAGGGAGATCTCTACTTTGCAAATGTGGAAGAAAATGACAGTCGAAGTGATTATTGTTGCTTTGCAGCATTTCCAAGACTGAGGACGATTGTGCAGAAAATGCCAATGACACTGAAGGTTTCCCGTTGTAAGTCTGTGGATGAGTACTTTCTTGTTTGCTGATGTTTTGTCTTTTTTAACTCCCCAGGCACCAGCAAATGCAGATGTGTGCCTTGTGTCTCTGTTGCGATTCTCTCTGAAGAAAATGCATGCTACTGTGCTTATTCCTGCATTATTAACCTTACTCTAAGGGCTAAATTCAACCAATAAAAGCTTTTTGCAGCTGTCGGGCCCCAAAAGTGTCCCATTTTTCATCCCCCCCCTGCCCTCCCCCCCACAGTGAAAGCCAATGATGCATTAGGGAAATCTGCTTCTCTTGCAGTCCGGCAGGTCACCGATGGATGGGACTTCTCTGGGGCTTGAGGACTTTATGTGGCCTCCTCCTCCCTGGGTGCAGGTCTGGTTTGGTCCAGGTGCAGCAATGTGGTTGGGAAGGATGGTCCTTTCCAGGTCTTTGCAGGCTGCCTTGTGCATCAGTAGTGACACACGAGGCATTTCCCATTTCCTTAATGAAATGTCATGCAGGGAACATCACACTTTTTTATTTTATCATCTCTGTATTCCAATTGTCTCCAAAGGTCTTATACAAAAGATGGTTTCAGGTGCTGCCGCTGCATCTCGTAGGGGTGCGTGGAGTTTGCTGTTCCATCGTCATACGCATGCATTTGTTCCCTGTGTACCTACCTGCTGTGGTATCAAACCGCTAATTCAAGCTGTGTAAAGCCACTGAATATGTGGAGCGTACAGCTATTCAGTATTAGAAACAGAGGAAAAGAATACAAATATGCAAGTGAAAAAAAGAAGACTTTTAGGGCACACTCTCAGTTGCGTTGAAGCAGTAAAGCCCAACAGAAGCTGGTGGAACTAAGGCAGCTTATACCAGCTGGAGATCCATCCTGCTTTGCTGGAATCTCTTTCGGCTGTAATAGTTTTGGGTATCACTTGTACCACTTCCTGAGGCTGCCCGTGCCCTTAATATCAGTCTTCTGTTTCACTAATACTGCTGACCTTCTAGGCTTAGGCAGCCCAGAAAGCCAAGGAGATTTTTCTTCACGAATGAAAGCCTAATACTTAATTGATGATTTTGAGAGTTTTCCTGTTGGGATAAGAAGAGAAAGGATTAATAGTGGCTTTGTATATCTTAATACTTGCTTAAGCCATATCTTGGGATAATAATTGTGAGAAAAATATCAAAATGAAATGTTGCTCTCCATAGCTTTTCTGATGGGTCCAGGCCCACACATGCACACACAGATTACAGAAAAATGAGATGGGGTTTGACTGTGGGGCCACTGATGGCCCTGGTGGTGACCCAGCAAAACAGTTCAGTGCGTGCACCTTGCCGTTGAAGCCATGAGACTGGGTAGGGGCAAAAAAGTGAGATGTGTATTTAAAGGGTTTTGTAAACTCAGCTTGAGACTGCCCACTCCACTCTGTGCCAAGTCTGGGTTGAGGGACTGTATTAAAAAAAAAAAAAACAGAAAAAAAAGTTGAGCAATAAGAAAAAAGAAACTGGATAAATTTTATAAAATTTCTTTATAGTGGTTACTTAGGGCTTAGCGATTTTTTTATTATTTTAGGTAGCTAGGATGAAATGATGATTATATCACCCATGAAGTATTTTGCAGAATAATACATATCTTTGAAGAATTTTCTTTGTATTTTCAGAAATTTGTTGCTCATCTGTTGCTTTACTTTATATTTTTCTTTGTTTCTTTCTTTGATGGTAGAAATTGGGGGGGGACATCTTTTTGTTTTGGTTGATTTATTGTTTCTTTTGATTCTGTATCAACTATGCATGTTTGTGTTTGGTTGTCACTTTTATTTATTTCAGTTAAGCATGCTAATGACTCAGGCTCACCTAACGCTGCGGTTACTAAGGGTGAGTTAAATGCATCTGTTATTTAGCCTTTAAACTGAGAATCTACCAGCTGAGATGAAATCTGAGCTGCTGCTCAGGAAAAAGAAAAAAAAAATCACAGAAGCTTTTTTATTACGATGGGATGGATTTAAGTGGTCCATGGAGTACAATTTGCTCATCTTGTACTTTTTGACAGAAATCTGAAGGGTTTTTAACAAAGAGGTGGTTTTCTTACTTGCAAAAATAAGATTCACATTTCATAATGTGATGTAAGTAAGGAGGCTGACGTCCTGGGTTTCTCACGTTATCAGTTCAGAGCAGAAGCCAGAGCTGGATGCTCCAAATTTTCTTCTGGCAGTTAAGAAGATGCTGGCATGAGGTACCCAGGGTTTGAAACCATTGAATTCATGTCTAAAGGGTCACCCTGGGGCTGCATTACTCCAGGGTGAGCTTAAGGTGTGGATTTACAGAGCTTTAGGTGCTCTGTGTTATTTGTCCCCATCTACAGCCATACCTCGCCATAGATGGGAGGTGGTTCTCTTGGGCCGTATATTGCCCTGTCTGATACTCACCGCAGGTAAGCACTACAACAAAGCACTTCTTATCCCGGGGATTCACGTCTTCCCTTGCTTTCTGTTCCCCTCTTTGTGGAGCAATATTCTGAAAATATTCTGCTGAGGTTTATGCAGGCAACGTGGGTAAGTCAAGAGGCAGCTAGCGGCTATTTCTGCAATCCTCCACCCAGTTAGTTTTGTTTAAAACACGTACAAATGAGAGCCTTGTGTTTTGTATGTAGCTCTTGACTCTGATTTATTTGGTTAAGTTGCTTTTTGAGAGGCTCTGTTTTTTGAAATGTCAAATTTGAAACTCCTGAAAGACCTCGTTTTGCTAGACAAGCACTGAAGATTTTGAAATGGAGGTTCTCCTCGAGTGTTTCGGGGTGGATAACTGAAAACACTGATCAGTCCTGAAGCCTTGGCCCACGGACGATAGCCTTGTGCGCAGAACAACCAGGGCTTGTACAGAGCGACAGACACTCAAAAACTTATTTTTCCCTCGGAGGGATGTCTGAACTCCTGTCACTGGTCGGGAAGGGGGACTGCCTGCCTTTGGCAGCGGGAGGTGGAGGGCAGATGGAAAACGTGTGAGCGTATCCACAGGCACCAAAGTGTTTTGCTGCAGCTCTGAGCACTTGTGACACAGATTTGTGGGGATACAAAGCAAGGGGAGGGAAAAAAAATTCGAAAATGGTTCTGAGAGATACATGTGGTCTTTTACTAAATCATCCGTAACTGACTATTTCTGAAGAACTAGTACCATTTGGGGACTTATTCATTACTGTGCTAATTGTTATTATAGTGATAACTGGATAGCCATTTAACTCAATGCATATTTCATCATGAAACCATTGTTTGGCGGGCTGGAACAAATGGTCCGTTGAAATCAAATGCAGGTCAATCTTGTTTTATTATTTTAACAGTCTTCCTTACAAATTGTATCTCCATTACTGTAGATTTAATAATGGTAGCAAGAAGGACCATTTTGTGGGATATTCAAGTCAGGAAAGATGGGTTTTCTTCTGAGATTTAAAAGATGACAGAGTCAATGCAGAAGAAGGGTGCTAAGAGAGATGGTGTGGACCAGAAGTTCAGCAATTGAGAGGACCAGTGTACCAAGACTGGTGCTTGGTACCAGAAAGGTACCAGTGCCCAGAAAGCAGAGTGTGAAACTGTAGGAGAAGGGGCTTTGCCAGTATTGCTGCCTGTTGTTACTACTGTAACCGTCTTCTGACTGTTACCAGGAGAAATAGGAGAGCCCTGGATTAGTCTCAAACTGTATAAATAAAAAAGAAAATTTACAAATTGATGTCTGAAATTTCTGACAGAGGTAATGTTCGTGGCATTAGTGAAGGATAAGCTAAGGCTCTAAGATTTCATATCTAACGTTTATTTTATTTTACTTTTTAGCAAATTTTATCAAGGAAAGAAAACCCAAACTGCTGATCCCTCCTGAATCTGCCGGCAGTAGCTCATCAGTCACTGTCATCAAGGGAGGTGTCCTGCTACTCGAATGTATTGCTGAAGGGCTGTGAGTAATGCACAATACTGCGCAAACTTAATCACTTTTTGAAATAGAATTGAGCAAAGGAAAAGCTATATTAAGAATTATACAACTACAAAATAATATACCTAGCTACCTATACAGTTTTAAATTGAACCTCTGTACAGAGTTTTTCTGAAGTATGTGTACTCCTCATAAAGCAGCACAGAGCTAGCGTGCAACATTCATGTATTTGTTATTGCTATAGCTTACAAACAAGTAATTAAAATTGTGTCATGGTAATTATTAATTTTTTTTTTACTATTATGTTATAATAAACCCATTATCAAACTTTTTCAGTTGTACTACTTTTGAGATGTTGAGAAACTAGATAACATCAGAATTCAGCTTCTGTGGTTTGGCTCACAACCTGTAATGTTTCTTTTCTAGTTTTGCTGGTTCAGTTTTGATTCAATGCTCAAAAATTATTCAGCATTTTTCCAGATGTCAGATCTCACGTTTTTAAAAGCAAAGTTCTTGAGTGGTGTAATACAAGACATCCGTTAAGGGTTAAGGAGATGCCCCGTTGGGTGAAATGGGTGGTCCATCTAGCCCAGCTGCAGTGGGAGATGCTGGCTCAGGAGCACATGTGAACCTGGCCGCTTTCTGTGGTCCATTCGCCAGCATCCAGAATTTCCATACAAAGGATGTTCCTTCCACAATGTTCTCACAGAAAACAGTATGTAGAGGAAGAAAGTCCACAACTATGTAAAAATGTGGTGGGCTGGAGTCAGCGGTATTGGTTTGATCCTGCTAAAACTGGCAGTAGTGGGCTAACTTCAAATTTAGTACCAGTCCCACGTTTTCTGCTTGGATCCGTTTCTATGCATGCCTCTGGTGCTTTGTGCTGCAAGCTTGTTATTGCAATCAGCATTGACCTTGGAGCACTATTCAAGCTCTAGTTGTGGATCTGACTGTACTAAGTATGGCAGAGCATCTTGATGAGGAGATGTTCACTGTAAAAATATAGAGAAAAGTTAAAGTAGATGGTATGTGATGGGAAATCAGGACAATTTTGTTCCTTATTGTAAATAAGACAGGACAAAATAAGGGTAAGTAAGGAAAGGGAATGGCTAAATAAATGTTAACTGCAGTCCTCACCATGAAGCTGTGAATGCCTCTCTCAGCCCTTGTTCCTGCTGCAGTAACTCAGACAGACAGAAGCTCTGCTTTGCCCTCGGTCCGGGTTTCCAATTTTCACTGTGTGCTTGTAGATGCAATAGTCTGCCCCAGAAGAGTTGCCACCAGAGAAATAGTTAAAGTGAAAATCTCCCCAACCGCTGAACCCACAATGCAAGCACAGTCAGTTCTGGTTTATTTGTGATAGAGCTTTTTGTTGAAAGGAGATTTAAATCGTCGTCTTTTCATGCTGTATGGTAGAGCCGCGGTCTGTGAACGCAGACTGTGGTTAGCAGATAGATAATTCATGTTAAAGGCTGTGCAATTATAACCCCTCTATAAAATTCCCAAATCAGGATATTTATCTGCCTGAACAAACATGTTTAGGGTATTTTGTTTTCCATGTGGGCTTGAAAGGGCATTGCTCATTTAAACTGGCGAGATTAAGCCTCTGCAGTTGGTTGCCGTTTCTGAGAGAAGGTGAATTACTTGGCTCTGTTGGAGTCACTCCAAGTATCTGCAGTGAGTTTTAGTTCCCTGTTGCAACGCTTCCTTGTCTAATTCACTACCCGTCAAGCTAATTCGCAGGCCCACAAACCTCCACAAGTCCACAGCTATGAGTCTATAGTGTTTTCAAGGTACTTATAGACAAATCACCTTGGAAATATGCAAATATGAATTTTCATGTGCAAGAATTAATATCGTGTGCAAGAAGAGAAAGCCAGGAAAGGCTTTCTGTTCATTTGGAAAAAAAAGTTTTAAAAAAAGAAATATTTTTGTTAAACAATTTTGTCACTCAAAATTTTCCAGGACACTTTTTTAAAAATTCTATTTCAAACTTTTTTTTTTTTTTAACTAGTCACTTTTGAAAGAAGACAAGGTACTTGTTTTTCTGATCACCAAACAAACATATTTTCATTGGAACCCTTCAAAAATACAACATTTAGACCAAAATAAAATGATGTTTTTATTTTCTAAAATTTCCATTTTCAGCAGAAAAATGATCAGCTTTGCCTACATCTCTGCCAATCCATCCCACCAAATGTCCACAAACCACACAAGCAGAGAGGCCGAGCCAGATTTCAAGTAACTGAGATCAGGGGCAGCCAACTGCAAAATACGGAATTAAGTACATTTCCAATCTGTCATTTTTGAAGACTTATATTCTGAGTAATGACAGTGTCAGGAGGGCATTGCCTCAGTACAACACCAAGGCAACACAGAGCCTGACTTTAGTACAAGAGCAGAACAAGGACTCTTGGAGGAAATAATAGCATTTTTTGCACGGTTGTGCTCACTGCTCGTGGAAAACCATAATTTCTTGGTACCTGGGGCTTTGAGTAGCTTGTGCCCGGGCATTTTGCCACAATAACAGATGGACACAAGAGTAAGCAGATATGACACTGTGTATGTGCGGCGTGTACGGTGTCGGGGTCGCGAAGCCCAGCTGGGAGTGTGCAGACAACAGTCTGTCCTGAATTTCTGTGTCGCTGCCGTTTCCTTTCTGAAAACGTAAAGAGCATTTTCAGCCATCTCCAATGGTTGGCCACTTTTCTAACCTGGCAGGGCACTGAGTGAAGTCACGGTAATGAAGTCTTTACCTCCTTGTCTGTCCTCAAGTGCCCTTTTGGAGTAGGACGGAATGAGCTCCCATCCCTTTCCCGCAGTCCATGCCAATACACGTACAAGGAGTGCAGCCTCATGCCATGGCCGGGTGTTGGCTGTGAAGAACCTACTTGTAGGTGCCTTTCGAATCCAGAAGCAGTACAGACTAGTTGTAGTCTATACTATAACCCTTAGTATAGCCCCAGCGTTTTAAAAGGGCTCAAAAGAGTCTGAAAACTTCACCTTGCAAACCATGTGCATGAAGTCCAGCAGCTCTGATAACACGAAGCATTACAGCAGCCTAGTATTCAACTCAAAATCTTTTTTTTTTTTTTTTTCTTTGCTATTAGCCCAACTCCTCATCTAAGCTGGGTCAAGGTCACTGGAAACTTGCCCAAGGATGAACCAGAAACAGAAAATTTTGGGAAGATATTGAAGATAGACCAAGTGACTGCAGCCGATGAAGGAACATACCAGTGCACAGCAAGCAACCCCATGGGGAGAGCGAAGCACGAGTTCCACGTTCACGTGGAAGGTGCTGAGTACACTTTACTAAGCTTATTGCTTTTATACAGAGAGGTGGTCAAAGGGAAGTGAATAAGGACCTTTGCTAATATCACTCAGTGTAATGCATAAACTCAACCAACTCTGTCAATTGATGCTAGCCAAGGACCTGCCTTATAGTTTTGGGAAGCTTGCAGAAAGTAGCACCTCAAAAAACAAAAAAAGAAAGAATGCTTTGGTTTTTTTTTCTGAGCCATGAAGGCACTACGAAGTAGTGAGCAGGAGTACAAATACGTGAGCAGATCCAATACTCTAAAGATGTGAGTTAGTCAAGCAGACATATTGATGAAATGTCTTGTATTAATCTGAATGTCAGACCAAAAGATCTAATCATTCTACTTGCTCTTAAAGGATGTGAAAATGGCTATACTGGGCCAGATCTGAGGTACATTTAGCTCAATTTCCTTTCTTTGGCTTCCACCAAAAATGAATGCCTAGAGAGGATTGTAAAAATGCAGTGAGCAAGCATGGTACCACCCCTCTCTTCCCCTCTTTCACGTGCTCCCTTACCATCATCCTTGTATATGGTCAACCTGAGCTAAGAGTGGTTTCTGTAGCCCCTGAAAAGTATCATAAAAACTTATGGAACAAAGTAATAAAAATACTTTCTACTAATTTTTAACAGTTTAAAAAAATAGAAATATGACTCTCTTGGTCATCCCACTGAGTATCCAAGACCCATTCCCACCCTAGCCTGCATGCTTGGAAGGATGACAGATACTCTGTCAGCAGCATTCATAAATAGTAGTCTTGAGGGTTACACTCGTGCGTACCGTACACTTGTGTGTTGGGTGGTGCGTCCCTGTGTGTGAGCATACACATGGGTCTGGTGACTGAACTGGGTAAGTGCCGGCCGCTTGTGCTGGGCCAGCAAAAGGGAGAACCTGGTATGTTTGTGCATCTGTTTGGTCATCATTTATTTACCTTGCTGCTAGAAGAAGGCAGATAATGAAACCAGCCAGGTTACCTTCATAACAGGCATCTTGCAGAGCGCAGAGGCCCACGATGCCTGCTCTCCCTCCATCCTCCTTTCTCCTGCTCCCCAGACCCTGAAGGTGTGAGCCCTTCACATAAGGCAGGTGCAGATGCTCTTTTCCAGGAGCAAAGCAGAGCTCCAGTGAGGCTTAGCAGAGACAGGCGAGCCTTGCAGAGGTATCACTGCCACTGCGACTCTTTCAGCAATACTGCCCATAAATAGCTACAAAATGAGAATCCTGAAGCAGAGCTGAAAAACTTGCTGAAAACATTTTCTCTTTTCTGATGAAAAATGCTCCAACCTCTGCTCTGCAGAGTGAAAAAAAAAAAATACATCACAGGCAGTATTAAACTGTCGGAGTCTGCCAACTGCTTCATTTTAATCTGTGCTGCTTCTCACTCTGTGGTCACAGGGAGTCCTGACAGGAGGAAAGGCACTTTCAGCTACCTGCTCTGTATTTACTCGTCAGCGGAGGAAAAGTCTTTTGTCCCAGTATGTGATGAATCATCCCCAGTCACTTGACCCAACCTTGTGTCTTACCCTTCTTTGCCTTCCTGGAAGTGTGGCAGAGGGGGATACCAGGGCATGGCAAGTTTTCAACTGCGATGGAGGGAAGTGCTGACTCCTAGAAATCATTCCAGATGGTTTGGAGCATCTCTGCTGTAGCTGAATATTTTAACAATCTGGCTATGATTTCTCGGCTGTAAAAATTGAATCCTTCAAAGAAATTGCAGGAGCTGCAGAAACTAAAATACCAAAGAAATAACATTAATTAAGCAGTTCAGAATATTGACCCCCTTCTCTCCCAGTCTCTAGAGGGAGGAAAGCTTTCCACCAAATTGTTGTTCCTGCTCATTAACAAACAAGTACATTAAAAAAAAAAAAGAAAAGAAGGAAATAATCCCACTCTAGCCATTGCAATGTAAAAAACACTTTTGCAATTGCTATTAAATTCATTTTCCGTATATGTAACTAATGTTGGCTGCTGTCACTAGCAGGAATTCTTCCTATTAGGAGTCACCTCACATGCAGGGTATCAAGGTAAGATTGAGCCCAAACACTGTCTTCTTCTAGAATTTCTAACCAGAAAATGTGACTATCATTAATCAGAGATGGGCATGTTCATCGTTCTTGCGGCAACTCCTGTGTGCGCACTCAAGGGCAGATCTTGAGTTGGTGGAAGGGAGCATTAATTTCCGTAGGCTTCAGGGAGGTTATGCTGACGTAGGGCTTCCTCGCACCTGACAGGCTCCTCTCAAAGCATGCATGCAGGGAAAAGAAAATTAAACATGGAAGAAAAATTATCTCGGTTATTAGTTACCGACCATTCTCAATCTAGTGCTGGTGTGTAAATCAGGATTTTGCTGTTATTTCTGTACTATGTCACATTTTCTGTTCTTCTTTCTGGTATTTGAGGATCTCAAACTAATACCCCAGCCTTCTAAATAACAGTCTTAATTAGTGATATTTGCATGCAGCCCACTTACTAATCCTACAGGAGTCTGAGGGCAAAGATTCAGACAATTATTACCAAGCGTATGAAAATATTCAGCTAGCAAATTGCTTGACTGTTTGACCATTTTCTTCTGTCTTTGCAAGGAAAGATGTAGCCTGGAACACTGGAACAGGCACAAAAACCCCATTGTTGTTATTAGAATGAGAGAGAGTTATTAAAAAAAGAAAGCAAAGCAAGCCCAAAAATTGTTTTGACTTAAAATGTTTGTTTATTTGGTTATTGTATATATTCTGCCAAGGCCAATACAAAATATATATATAACCTCAAAATCTGGTTGCTATCACAGCGCCTGATCTAATGGTACCTTGATCTTGACTGAGGCTCCTAGACTGTGTTTAATAGAAATAATTATTACAATATAATGATTAATTATAGTAATGATATAATAGCTAAGAGCCTTTGCAGTTATGTCTCGTAATACTCTCATTACTCAGCTAGAGGAAAATAAAATAGATGAAACTAATGTGAGGCAGAACCATGTCTGGTTGTTTTAATCAGGCTCAAACTGTAGTTCTGTCTTTCACTGGAAAACTGCTTCAACAGGGATGCAGAGCCCAAGGTGGCAACTGCAGCTGAAACTGCCGATGGTGCCCCCAAAGTGGGATGGATTGCTAGCCTTTGGGAAGACGTGAGGAGAATTTGAAATGATCTTGACAAATTGGGAAAATGGTCTGGAATAAAAAGGATGGGCTTCAGTAAGCACAAGTGCAAAGCGGTTCTCATCAGGCAGCACTAATTGGCTTCATAAGCGCAGGATGGAATCTGTCTGGTTAGACTAGTCTGGAGGATATACTGGATTGCAAGCTGAACATGACTTGGCAATATTAGTCTTGCAAAAAAAAGCAAAAATCATCCTGAAAAGTATGAAGAAAAGTGGTCTTGTAAGAGAGACTACTGAGAACTAATAAGGCCTCATGTAACGTAACCAGTTTTACATCATGCACTGCATCAAGGCTGGGGTTAACTCAAGACGGTTCAAGAGAAAGCAGCAAGGGTAGTCACAGAGCTCAAAAACGTGGCATTTGAGAAAAAAGATAGATATGTTTACTTTAGGAAAGAATGAATCTGGGGAATGCATGACAGCCTTCAGATGAACCGAAGTTTCTTCACAAAGTTCCCTAGGGATAATGTAAGGTACAATAGACTTAAATTGGAGCGAGGCAGAAGCTGGTTAGATGTTCAAAATTTGTTCTAGTCATGCAGAAAAGCATAGTGGTGCCATAGACAGCATGGGAAGCTGTGGTGAAGGTTTGAATCCATCAGGGCCGTTTAAGTGTAGATGATCCTGCTCTGTTGCAGAACAATGGGCTAGATGCCCATTTTAGATTCTTTCTATTTTTTGGACCTGTCATTATATTCTGATAAAGACATAAATCTCTTATTCAGGAACCCCACATTTATACCCCTTCCCAAGAAGAATATGTTGTGCGGTGAAATATTTGCCATGCTGTATTACTCACACAGATTAACTATTTGACTATCCAGCCACTGTTTTTTGTAGTTGCTAAAAAATATGTGTATATTTTTATTCTTATATTTTATATACTTCTAAGTAGTACAGCATATCTGCCACACAGAAAAAAGGTTCTTCAGCCCTTCAGTGAAATTATACTTCGTACTTGGCAAAAGTATGAAGCTGCCTATGGCTTCAGAGCTGCATCACTTTGACGGGGCAACCACAGCTATTCCTGTGCTGAGATAGGAAAGCAGTGGCGTAATAGATCTGCAGCTCACTTCCAGAGTGTCTACACAGATGAAAATAGGAAGGGAACCATCGGGCGGTTTGTATTCAGTCTGTGCTTGGTGTCTCACCTCCTCCAAAACAAGGAAATACCCTATCTCGAGTACTGTGTTTGTGGCAGACCTAGAGAAACAAAAAGCTACAAAACAAATTCATCAGGACTATTCCAAACATTTTCACCTCCGTGCCTTTGACCTGTCTTTTCCTGACGGAAGCATAATGTATATGAGACAGAGAGAAGGAAAAAGTTGTGCAAAACCCAAATGTTCTGCTGCTGGCAGAGTTTTTTCCTGGAGCCAAACAGAAGGAGGCATAACAAGTACGGTCACGTCGCATGCTGCACTACGGGGGGGCAACCAGCACCGTGCGAGGAAGAGGAAATAGGGACTCTGTGAAGGAAATGTGAAGATGTTATAATTTTACATAAGCTACAGTGTCTTGGATTTTACTTCAGTCTTTAGATGTCGCTTAACAATGTCTCTTCATGAGTGCTCTACTGTGGAAATGGTGGACTGTGTGTAGAAACTCCTGTATGTCACGCTTCAGGAGTGGTTTTTTTTATATATCTGTGTGAATATAAGCAATGATGCTTTGTTTTAGCATATCCCACCTTTAACATCTGGAGGTATATTACCAGGCAACAACTCTGTTAATCTTCAAAGCATTTTATGAGCATTAACTAATGAATCCTCATGTTTCCCATACATTAACTCATCTTTTTCAAATAGGAAAACAGAGATCTGCCCAGCACATGCAGAAGAGGTAGCGTCAGGTCTGGAATTAAAATTTGGAAGTTCATTGCTTCACAGGGAGAGATAGTGATGAATTCAAGGCTGTGTTTTGGGTTGAGGCTGCCCACTGAAGGCTCAGGGACCTGCATGCAGTCTATAGAGAACAAAGCATTCATCAGATTAATGCTTTTTCCATCACCCCCCCAGTTCCCTTCCCTCCCTTATGGTCGTGTTTTTCCAATGAGATTTGGGTACCTGACGCTGAGGGACTGCTCTGTAGAGGAGGGGGTTTCCCCAGAGGTACCCCAGTTCAGCTGGCAGTGCTGGGAAAGAGGAGAGCACAGGGAATGCGGCAGCTCACTGCTGCTCCTCTGCCACCACCCTGTGGGCAACCTCTCTGGGCCGCTCCTCAGGATGATGGTTCCGTCATCCCCAGTGGTGAGAGAATGTTTCGTCATTCCTAAAGATGTTAGGGATCAGCCTCTCATCTGAATACGTGGTGGGATATCAAAAATCGCAAGGCATTTCTTCAGCACACGTAAACGAGCAAATGGAGGTGGAGCTCCACCACATCGCCGTACTCTGCCCTCCGGCCCCTCCTGGGCAAGGTGGTGGAAACCACTTGCTCGTGCCTTGTAAGGGGGATTGGAGCCGGATGGATATTTGCACCTCGTTTGAGTTGCCAAAATACCCTCACCTCATTTCACAGAGCACAGGCTCATGTCTGAGGGTCCTTGTGAAAACGCCGACCTGTTCAGGTTTACCTCCTTCCCCAGCCTCTCACCTCCCGTTTGCATTTGTTTTCCACTTGGATAAACGCTGTCCGCTTCCTACACTCTCTCCCTGACACTCGCATTTCACCAAGTCTGAAGGACAGAAATTGATGTGTGCTGATGCTAATTTTACCTCCTGCAACATCGCTAGTGAGAAATACAGTGCAGCTGCACAATAAATAGGAGCTGGCTGGGAAGCGTTGGCAGCTTTTGCCATCTCCTGGAAGACCACAGCAATAGCAGAGCTAGACGTGGCTGGCTGTGGCACCTCATACCTGCCGTGTCCCCTCTTTACAGAGCCTCCTCGGTGGATAAAGGAGCCCGAAGGTGGTGTTTACAGCATAGGAACAAATCTTGTGCTGCTCTGCGAAGCTATCGGCAACCCTGAGCCAACCATTCAGTGGAAACTTAACGGGATGCCCATCGATAGTAAGTGCAGGGTGAAATCTTCTTTAGGTGGTGGGTGGGTGGGATGTGCCTGAGTTGTGCCCAGTTAGAGGGACCATACAAATCCTAATGCACTGAATGATGTCTGGTTTGACGTCTATTTAGACGTGAATTAATACTTATTTACTTAATAAAGCTAACGTTTCAACGTGATCTTGAAGAGAGTAGGGGTGAAAGCTGCAGGGTGTGGAGTGGTGGTACCCAGGAGTTACTGCCTCTGCCTCACCCCGTAACGCTCCCATCTTTTGGGGTTCTGGGATAGATTATATTCATCGAGGGCTCCTGGTCTTTCCTTGTGCTTCTGAATAAGCACAAGTGACGGCGTGGCTGGGGAGCGCAGGCCGTGCTCCCTGGTGTTGCAGTATTATTACTACCAATTTAAAAAGCCTGTGTGGGGATTTTGCTGGAAATTGGTGCTCTAGAGCACTTTCTTTAGGCTGCGGGATTGCTGGCAAAGGCAGTGCTCTGCATCTTGCTCTCTGGCTGTTGAGCAAGGTCCTGGTTTGATCCCAAAGAAATTCCATTGCCTTTGACTTTCAAGCAGCGAAGCGAGACTGTAAACTCCACAGTCGTGGTGTTTTCTCTGACACAGTCTGGGTCTTTCCAGGTAGGACCTTCAGAGGGAGAATCTCTACCAGAGAGGTCAGCCTTACCAACCTCCAGCTTCAGGACAGTGCTGTCTACCAGTGCGAGGCCAGCAACAAGCACGGCACCATCCTTGCCAGTGCCAACGTGAACGTCCTCAGTGAGTACCCTCCCAGCCTTTCCTGTTCACGAGAAAAGACCTAACTGGAGTGTCCCCTTCTGCTGACTGAATCTTCAGAACAGCTTGGGGTTTGTAACCATGGCATTGTTCCTTTGCGTTGGCCCCAGATTTTAAGAAATACATTGTCCAAGCTAATGCAACAAGCCTTGTCATGGGCAATATTATATGCTTAGCATAAATGTTCGTGACCTTTGATATGTTCTCTATTTTAGAAACACGGTTGTGGTTGGGCTGAAAACCTTTTGAAAGTTTTAAAGTACTAAAACCATTGGGGGCTGAATTGTGAGCACAACTCTGGTTTTGAATTATTAAATGTATTGTTAATCTTTAATTTCAGTTGTGATGCTCAGCCTATTCTTTGAAGAAAGGGTGTGATGGGAATTTATTTAATAAAAGAGGTTTCTAGAGGAAGCAGAACCAGGTCTGTTTTCTCTCCTGGAGCACATCGATGTTTCGTGTCCTGACATGTCCAGCAGTCAACCACTGTTACCTTTGTCAGTGAAGCTTATGAGAGCTTGGTTGCTCAGTGCAACTGGTTCCAAAAGGCGGTGAAACTCCCGTCAAGTGGCTAAGCCTTTGACCTTTGCTGGAAAAGGCAATGATGCAGGGACAGTATTTATATTCCCAGTTCTGAAATGCATGCTGCTCATTTTGCGTTCTCTTCTGCAGATATTGCTCCCTTAATACTGACCTCAGATGGTGAAAACTATGCCACAGTTGTGGGTTACAGTGCCTTCCTGCACTGTGAAATTTTTGCCTCGCCTGCAGCAGATATTAGATGGTAAGCCACTGAGAACTGATGTTTTCATGTGAAACAAGTTCATACAGGATCCCCAAACATTGAAAAATGTGCTAGTTATTTTTTCTATGAAGTTAAAATTAGAAATTTGTATCAAAACTGTATATAATATAAGTATTTCGTGTTTAAATGCACTTTCAAGAACCCTGAAGAACTGGTTTATAAAAAAAGGATAATGAAAGTCCTCAACACCTGTGTGAGACAGGTGCTGGGATATTCATTACACTGAGCCAGGCTGTATATAGCCAAATCCTGCTACAGCTTCATCAGCCTTAGTTTAATGTTGGTAACTTTTTAGAAGTTTGGACAGATTATTGAGGTGCAAGCGCAATGACTTACAGAGCATATTTACCTGGGAATGGTTCCATAGGGTTGGAAATCACAGGATTGTCATAGTACTTGACAGGTGCAATAAAAATGCAGGTGACAGCTATAGATTAAAGACTCAGCCAGACTAGTTTAAAGACGTTGCTAGAGGCTGTCAGTGTGGTTTTGGTTTGCAGGAAGCTTATGTCCCTTTACAATTTGCTGCACGTGGGTGAAGTGACTTGCTAATCTTGACTTGATCGCTCAGTGGCAGAGCTGAGACCAGCACCCACATTCTTGTGTCCCCTGCAATATTGGCTAACCATGAAATAACAGTTCCTGCAGCCCTAGAAATAACCCGTAACTATTGTTATCGTCTTTAGGACTAAGGATGACAGCATAGAGCCACTTTCAACGTTACGCTATGAGTTAAATAAGAACGGCACCCTAGAGATCAAAGAAACAAGGAAAGAAGACTCAGGATCGTACGCTTGCTGGGCTGCAAACTCTGTTGGAAAAAGAGCAATCACTGCTAATCTGGATATAAGAGGTAATGTCTCACGAACAGAAAGACCTTTGCCATCTACTAAGGTTTTATATTTACAATTTTTCAGTAAATAAGTAATTAGTAAATATTCAGTCCAAGATACAGATTTATTCTTTGAGGCTATAAATTCTCTGTATACTAAGACCTGAAATTGCCACAGCAGTTAGTGTTGTCGGTGTTTTTCTGTGTGATTTCTCCATGCTCATCCATGATGTTTACTTTCTTCTTGACACTTGCAGAAGCTGCATGAGCCACCAAAAACTTGCAGTTTACTTCCCAGATCCATTAACTTTATTATCTTGGAAGGATTTTTCCCTCCTCCTTACCATCATCCCCGTTACACTCAGAGCAGGTTCTTGGCTGACCCTTGGGAGCCCAGAGCCCTTCCCTGTTCTCATGGGGTCCTTGCTGAGCCAGACAGGGTCCTGCATCTCCCACAGCTGTGGGCTTCCACCTTCTTTCGAGTTCTTTCCATCCGTTGATCAGAAGGTACAGCCCAAACCGAATTAACTTCTACAGCGAACACTGAGCACGTTGCAGCAGGATGAGTTAGGGAGCGCCGCTGGTTTAGGGGCTTTGCATTGGGCTTTTGCCTGATTATCGACTTGACAAATATTTGTAATTAGAGCAAACAAAAGAAAAAAATCACTGAAATGTGGTTACTTACAAATTTCAATTCTGTTTTAAGGGATTTATGTGGTGGGTTGAGCAGGAGGGGTTTTCCCCTGGAGGGTGTGATGGCAGTGGACAGCTTCTGTTGAGCACACAAGTTAAATTTAGTGGGTTGCATACACATTTACTTGGGATTTAGGGCTTGCCAATAAAAAAAACCTTAAATACTCAATTAGCAAAGTCCTCAAAAGGAATCTCAGATACAGGTTTGCTGTGACAAACTTGAGAAAAAAGCCCCCACTCTTTCTGTGTTCTGTGTCTACCCACTCCCTTTGCTTTGTAAATTTTACAGTGATAATAAACATGAAAATGTACAATGAAATTCTCACAGAGCAACATTTCACTGCAAAAATAAATTCAGCCAAGTGCTTTCTTCTTACTTATTCATCTGTTTCTGCATTCAGATTAGAGTCAATTAAAAGAACAAACTTGATTGCAATAATTTTTTTCTCACTTGACTTTAATAAGCTTGTAATTTTTCTTGGATTGTTGCCAAAGCCTATTTCAAATGGCAATTGGACATAAAAATCATATTCAAGCCTTTTTTTATCATCCATTTCATGACAGTCTGCTAACAAGGATTTTCACCTGTGACTTTTTTTGTGTTTTGTTGTGTTTTTTTTTCTGGAGCTCTTTAGTTTGGAGTGAACTGAAAAAGAATTTTTCAAGATAGAAAAATAAATCCTGGCAAATATTGATTTCAAAACCAACCATTCTTCACTTGAAATGTTTGTGTATGTGACAAAAAAGACATTGTTGCTCCTAAGGTTGATTTTTATATATGAAGTGCTTGGTGAAAATTTGATGTAATAGTCTGTCTCTCCTAATCAAAGTGTTTTTCTGTGATCCATCAGATGCTACAAAACTTGTTGTTACTCCGAAGAACCCCCGAGTGTTGAAATCGCATTCAATTTTATTGAAATGTCAATCTGAGTATGATTCACACTTGAAACACAGTTTTAAATTATCCTGGAGGAAAGATGGAGATGAGCTGCCAGTCAACAGCACGGAAGATGGCAGGTAAGCAGGGAAAAAACGAGAGTTTTCTGGTTCTCAGCTGAATAATGCTGTATGGTGCTGAAACGTGAGTTTCAATAAACATGAGACTTAATAGCTTGAAATGCAAATTTATGTCTGCAAGAATTCTTCATGCGATATGTGAGTAGATCTGCATTTTATATACATATAAATATAAGTGCATCTCTATGAGTTCTGAGCCATGGCTGGTAAATGATTTTGATTTTTATTAACTCTCTCAGCATCACAGCAGAATATTTCATAAATGTTGGTTCAACTCAAAAATAAAACTCTAGCCCCAGTGCAGTCAACTAGGCTTTTGTTGCTCCACTTCAGCAGAACTAGTATTTTCCTGTGTTTTACACCTGTTCGGCCAAAGCAAAGTTCTCGTAATGTTGAAGTGAATGGAAAACAGGTTTCTGGGATTCTGCCTACAATCACACACGTTAATAGCAGTGAGTTTTTCCTATGTATGAGTTTAGGACTTGTATGTGCAGGCTGAATTTTGCCCTGCTCTTGTGTTTCCATTGACCTTAAGGGGATGGAGCTCAGCCTTTATTCCATATGAAGGATCCCGCAGTGGGTAATCAGATGTCTTCATTAATTGCCACAGAAGAGAGAGAGTTTCCTAAATACTGCAGTGCTGGAGAAGCTGAAGATCCTGCTGAGGCCACGTAGCGTGGGGAGATAGTGCCAAGCGAATGCCATGTCTGCAACAGAGCCCATGTGCCTGGGTTAAGGCCAGCTTCCTCTGGTTCATTGGACATGACACAAGTGGGTTGGGAATGCTCAGTTTTACTCAACCCTTTCAAAAATTCGGACATAAAGCCCGTGTATTTGCGTCATTAATGATGTGCCAAAATCCTATGTTCCAGACACTCAGCTGATGCATATCAATGTGGCTCTTTTCAGACCAAGAGATCCATGCCAACTTCCAGCCATGGAGGCTAAATTACTACAAAATACAAATAATAGTCTACAGCACAGTGTACAATACAACTACAATTATGTTTTAAAGTAATAGGCCTAACGTGCAATTATGTTATTCAAAATGTCATGTTACCAAGGTTTTTTTATGAACAGTTTTTTTGCAGAACGATGTCTGTCTGTCATGTGCTTGTCTTACAGATTTTTCTCTACCTTATTTGTGTGTACCTTTTTTTTTTTTTTCCCCATAGGATAATTCTGGACAGGGATACACTGTTCATATCAAGCGTGACACTGGGGGATCAAGGAGTTTACACGTGTGTGGCTCGCACTTCTCTGGACAGTGTTACAGCAGAATCACAGTTAGTTGTTCTTGGTAAGAGAATATTTTCCTGGTGTGCAGACAGGTCCGTGCGGTACATAATGCCATTGCAGCACTTTTGCTTATTTGCTTCTTTTGCCCAATTCAGTTACAGAGCGTCAAGAACCCAATTTCGCAGAGGTGAAATGTACCTCTCGCTCATTAACCTCAGTTGTTCTATCCTTGCATCTCCTGGAATGGGGATGCTGATGCAAACTTTTAATTTATATTTAATCTTCGTTATACCTAAGATGAGTCAACCTTTTTTCTCAGTTCAGGAGTCACCCACAGTGGCTGTAGGAGCTTGCCCAGGCTGGAAAGTGTAATAGCATATTAAGAATGGCTCTCCTTCTGCTTTGAAGTCCTTGGTCAGTCCTTCACCCCACTTTACTAGAGATTTGCACGTGAATTACTGCTTGGACTCTTTTTTGAAGAAGAAAGACATAAGGCCAGTATTTAGATGTCTAACTCTTCTGAAGATTAGTGGAAGTTAAGCACCTAAAAGGCTTAATTGTCTTTGTGAATCTGAACATAAATTATTGTCCAGTGGCAAAGAACAAGTCCACAGCAGAGAAAAGCCTTCACCCACAGAGTCTGAAGCTGGACCTTGTGTGAGCATCCTTACAGCCTGCTTCCCTTCCTGAAGGATCACTTTAAATTAAGGGGGTGAACCTGTGGAGTGAGGTGCAGTCCTTTGCACATGTACCTAAGGGCATCAGCCAATAGCTTAAATTCAGTTTTGTGGACAGTTTTGAATGGCTTTAATTTCATTATATTTTGGTTCATTTTACAATTTTATTTATTTCTGGCAGTGATTGCAAAAAGAACTAAGACAATCTGACCTTCAAGATGTTTTCACACTTTAAATGAACGGTATTTTCCAGTAAATAGTAAATTAAGAAGATACTATGCACATTATTTATGGTACTGTGTTCTTTAGTGCTGTATAATTCAAAATGTTTGTAGTCATTACATTACTTATGAAAATTTCATGAAGCGCGTTATTCCCTTTTAAAAAGGTGATTTGCAGAAAAGGAAATAGTCTTGTGCTGTTTTCCCCTTGTTTATTGTATGTAAGAAAGGTCTTGGATGATTAACAATATCTGTTATTTTCCAAATGAAAAATTCAGGCTTCTTTTGCAAAGAAAGACTTTTGAGATGGCTAAAGAACTAAATGTGGGACAGATGGAGACATGAGAATATGGGCAACTAAGAGCAAAATAAATATTCAGTTAGAATAGTTCTAAGTATTTGTTCTATGATTCATGAACAGATAGAGGGGTGAGTATCTTTAAGATGCACCATCACCATCTTTAAATTAATATACTGAATTTTAACTCCAAATATGCTCCAAGAATAGAACACGAAAAGCCTGTAGATTAAACTGGACTTTCCTGATTTTTCCCAAGTACAACAGAAATAGGCGAAAGAAATGCAAAGAAAACTAAAACAAAAAACCCAGCCCAAATATAACCTTTTAAACTTTTTTATGTATCCTGAGGTAAACAAGAAAACTCAATATTGTTATTTAAAAAATTCAACGCAAACACAATTAATTTCTTTCACAATGACAGAGACAGTTTTGGTGGTTGAGGTAGCTGTTTCTCCTATATGAAATGATGTTGTCAGCCAAAAGTGTAGTTGGGACATCGGGGCAGGAAGAGATCAAAGACCTGAAGTCGTGCAATGTGGTTTCCTTGGTCTGTATATTTTTTACATTTTGAAACACCAGCCGTGTGTTTAAGGAGGGGGAGTGTGTGTGTGTGTATGTGACACTGGAAGGATGAGGGGTTACCATCAGCCTCCTGCGGCGAGAAATTGCTCTGTTATGTCAGGCCCTATACATTTCAGTTGCCAAACTAAAGCAATACAGTCAGACTGCAAACTGTCAAAGCAAGCTGTAAGGAAGATAAACATCTGCCCGTCTGAAACCGCTAAATTTGAAAGTGTTTGTTTAATGACAGACAGTTTGGGAGACAACCCATGCCACAGATCACCTCTTCTGCCCCTGATGCTGTTGAGAAACCAGGTGGTGTGGCAAACGTGTGTCCCCCTTGCCGTCTTTGGAGGGCTGCGAGGGGGAGCAGCCGATTTCAGTGGTGTTGGGAACCTCAGGTTAAGACCACGTCCCTGAAAAGGGAGCTCTGACAGCAACAGGGCTGTCCGTGCTGGGGGCTTGTATAGCCCCACGCTTGTCCCCGGGAGGTGCAGTGCAGTCATCGTACTGACCACCAACAACTCTGACTCTGATACTGTCTCTTGACAGCATTAGTTGAGCTGGCAGGTAATGAATTTTCTTGTTTCCTTTTAATATAGATCCCCACGGCTGGGATAATGAGTGTTACCCTTTCACTCATACTCTAAAAGGCCAAGTTCGATAACTGTCGGAGCTGAGTCACCTTCTACCACTCTGGTTTGCACCAGAGTAAGTCCAAGTGACTCTAATATAACTTTTGCTAAGAGCAGTGTCAATATCTATTAATGATTAAATAGATCTTAGTGTTGATTTGAAAATAAAAGTCTGTTGCTGCGAGCAACAGTAATGAGAGTAGATTGAAATGAACTGGAGAAGGGATATTACATTTATAAGGGAGAAAGCCGGACCAGACGATTCAGCCTGATTTCCTGTAATAAAAAGCATCTTTAAAAGCAATTCCCACTTTCCGAATTTTGTCCATTTTGAAATCAAAAGATGTTTTGCCACCATCTTCACTGAACTTGCTGTTCCAGTCCTTTGGAAAATGCCAAGACAAACAGAAATAGCTTGCCATGCCCCTGACACTTCCTCGTTATTTCTCAGATGTTCCTGATCCGCCAGAAGACCTTCAGCTCTCAGAAAATCAAAACCGAAGTGTTCGACTCTCCTGGAAAGCCGGGGCCAGTCATAACAGCCCTGTTAATGGTATGAAGGATTTTAGTAACAACATCTTGCACTGTTTAGCATTATGGCACGTCATGGCTTTTAGAAGAAACAAACCGTGCTCACAGCCGTACTTAATTGGTTTTACTCTGACAGTTAATTTGTTGTAAGTTCATTTCCATCCTTGCTATGCATAAGCTGTTTATACAGGCTCTGCCTTTTTTCTTTTGTTTCGTTTGATTTCTTTTCCTCCCCAGAGTCGATTATAGAGTTTGAAGAGAACCGGTGGGAGCCGGGGAGGTGGCAGGAGCTAACCCGAGCCCCGGGGAATGACACCACGGCCCTTCTGTCACTGGCCCCGTATATGAATTACCAGTTTCGCGTCGTATCTGTGAACGCTGTGGGAAGGAGCCAGCCAAGTAAACCATCGCTGCGCTATGCGACACCTCCGGCTGGTAAACACTGCCATCTAGTTTTCTGAATATTAATATTTTTGGTGTTTTACTGGGAATAACAGTGCCTTCCTGTGCTTCAGAGGGGGTGTAAAGAATTCGGGGGTCACTTGTGGTGCTCAGGGGCAGCCCAGGGATGCCGAAGCGAGGAGTGTGCGCTGCTGGGGTTGGCGGGGTGGTTCCCGCCAGGGTCCCTCCAGCCCATCGCTTCCCTCAGCTCTGCTGGTTTTGCACCTTTCAAGCCCATTGCAGCCCCTCATGGACAAGCAGTTGCTGGAGAAGATCAGAGTTTACGGGGAACTTTTCAGCAGCGCTAAGCTTGTCAAAAATCTCCATTCACAGTGCATTTCTCACGGTGACAGAAAATATTGTGTCCCTGAAAGTCATTTTAGAGGCCAACTGTTCAGCTCAGCATTTGCATTCCTTGGCATTTTTCTTTCTCTTTTTTTTTTTTTTTTTTTTTTTTTCTCCCTGCTTTACTTCAATTTCAGGTCTTTCTTTAGCTTTTCAGCTGTGTGCGTCCCACTAATGATATACCTTCTGTTTACCATCCCCATAGGGAGAAAAATCTCTTCCTTATAATCCCCCTACATCTGGTGCTTTGAAATCCAAAAGTCACAGTCTCGTGTTAGCTGGTGGCTCCAACCAACAAGGGCACTTAGGAATCAAAACTGCATAAACAATGTGCTTCGGTCACAGCAGCTTTGCTGATCCAAGTAATTAATCTCATGAACGTTTTTTGTTTAGGTGTCTTTCAGTAATACAGAAATAAGAAAAGTTTTTTGCATCTTTTTTTTTGCATTTAAGTAATAAATGCAAATAAAACCCAGGATATGCAAACTAACCTTATCACCTGTGTGGTTCCAGCTCCAGACAAGAACCCAGAAGACATCCGAGTTGAAGCTTCTGAACCAAATGAAATGGTGATGAAATGGGAGGTAAGGCAAACATGTTCGTCAATGTTACAATATTGGAAACAGGTTCTCCCTTCAAGCAGCAGTTTCTAAAGCAGCATGAAATTTATCTGGATGTTGTTTCAATGTAATTACATTTAAAAAGAAATAACAGATCCCTTGACTTCCATCTCCCCTTCCCTACCCCTGTTTTTTTAGGAAATACTAGCAAGTTCCATAGGTAGGATCTTTGATGCTCTTGAAGTCAAAGGTAAAGTTGTTATTGACTTAAATGTGTTTCAGATTTCCTCCCCTAGTTTCATTTTTATTTCAAAAGACAATTTTTTACATCTGACTTCACAGGTTATTAAGAAATATGAAAGTCCTATAAAGCACTTCCCCAGAGTATGCTGTTCTTCTGTGCATCCTGCATACAAGAAAGTGCTTAAAGTAATGGTGGTCTTGCCCTGCTCTGCAGGAGAAGCAACCAGGCCCAGGGAGGGGATGATTTACTCATAGCTTCTGCCCTTCCAGCCTGGAGGTTTAAAAATGATGCAGCTCACTTAACCAAGAGAACGTGAGCTTCAAATTTTACACCAAGAGCTAAAGGAGTGTAGATAAAGCTCCTAAGCATGTGTGTCAAAGGAATTGTGTAAAAGTCTTGAGGATGGTTTCCAGTCTTCAGATTCCCTGGCTTTTAAGCTTACAGCTTCTGTGCCAACAGTTTAGAGAGATATATATCCCTTCATTTAACACAAATTTCAACAACTGTGGCAGGAAACATATTTTTTGTGGCTGGAATTAAACACAATTTACATGAGATTTACTTCTCAGTCTGCTACTCGCAGCAAAGAACAATAAACGTTTCCCCAGTGTGAACTCATGGTTTAGGCTATAATTACGCCAAAAGGAGGTGACCCTCTAGATCAATTGACTTGGATTTGAATGGGGATTTTTGCTGTATGACATAGCCCAGGGTCAGGGAAGACAATCCTGCCTCTCAGAAGAAATGTAGACTGGTAGGAACTGGCATGACTGGGAAATGCTGCTGTGACCAACACTTCGTTGAACAGAGAACAAGTGCTCCTCCTTGCTGGGAAGCCTGTAATCCACTGCTCAGACAGGGCAAAAGTAGACATGAAAACTGAGACTAAAGGGAGAGAATGGGATGGACAGGCTTTGTTAAATCTTGTCGAATCATTTAAATGTCAGAAACAGGATATTAATTTATTTATGGTGTTTCCTGTGTCCTTTTCAGAGGAAATGCTAGGCACTGAAGATGCTATTTCTGGCAGACAAAGGCTGCAAAACGATGTTAGTCTGCCTACTTTGGATTAAGAGACCAGATGAGCATTAGTGACTAGCTTTTCAGCCAAGGATTTGCAGCATTAAGGGAGATCAAAATAAGAGTCAAGCAGTGCTGCAATTTAAATGAGAAGTTAGTTTTCAGTAGGAATTTTTTACTTCTTCAGCTTCTGTTGCAAATCCCGCTCCCCAGGATCTTTGCCATGGAGGTGATTCTCCCAGCGGTGCCTGTTAGAAAGCTTGCCCAGTCTGCCAGCTCCTTCACCACAGTCATCCCAAAGGTCCTCACACCCTCAGAGCAGATAAGTGGGAGTTTTTGCAGATCCCCCAGACTTAGGTGCCCCCCGTGCATGAAGAGCATCAATGGGATATCGCTTTCTGCTGGTACTTGCAAGTGGATGCCATTTCATTTGAGACCTCTGTGTGCTGCTTGGATACATATCAGTTATCGTATATTTAATATGTGCAGTATATAATTTAAATATTATTAAAAGTAGGCTATGTGGTGGGAAATGTTTCAGTGGACTGAAATAACCCTCATCATTTTTGGTAGTGCAGATGACCAGTTAACTTTATTAATTAAAGAAGTGCCTTTTCAGAGAAATAAACTCAACTGGAGAATGTCTTATGACAAGCCATTGCTATACATCTTCTAATATCTTATAAATTAATGTTAATTAGATGGGAACCAAGCTGTGATGAATTCTTCAGCTGGTTGGTAAAAAAAGAGTAGCACAGCAGTTGCACATTAAATGTCCAGGCATAGTTTCAAGCATTTGGTGCATATTTAGAACAAATCTAAATTTTAATGACCCAACTTGCTGTGCTACATAAAATTCTAAGATAAAACTCAGATTTTAGCTGTACTAAAAGGCACACACAGTCTTATGCCAAAATACGCATTTTGGTTGTGCTAAAAGGCATGCGGTTTTACATCACACAAGAAAACAGAGAAAACCTGTGGCAAAACAAACACGGAGGTATGTACTATGCAGAAATATGTCTACTAGCAATTAATCTCTTTTTAATCTTGTTTTTAATAAACTGTTTCTCTGCCTTTCACCTACCTTTCTCTTGAAGCCATGACATTTTTCTTCCAGTCTTCTTAAAATTAACATGACAGCAAAAAGTTAAAGCTTTCTTTGGAGAGA